CCCAAAGGTCGGGCCTTTAGGCCCTGGTGTGTCCCTCCGGCCCTAAGTCGGGTCCGGTAGGACCCGTGTGAGTCGAAGATGTAACACTACTGCTTCGTTGATTCTTGTGTTCATTGTGTATGTCAGAGATTGTCAGAGGAGATCTGCATTGCTGAGGTGGCCAGAGAGGGAGATGCCCGAGGAGGAAGTCGGCTTGAGCAGGGACTACTGCTTCGTTGATTCTTGTGAGACCTCCTCCTCCTCCTCCTCCTCTGTCTCTTCTCCCCCTTTCCTCACTCTTTTCTCTGAAGTTCGAGACTTTGGGAGATTCCATGTACGTCAAGCATATGGTTTCATAAACCATTTTTGAAGACATTATTGCTCGCTGAGTCAGACTTGTATCACGACATTCGTGACCTTCTCATCTGTCTCGGTTCATTGCAGACTGCTCCATTTGTGATAACTCTCTGATTTATATCGTCGATGGGTGATGAAGGACATTTTGTCAGTGGGGTTTCATGGCTCAGCCAGTGGTGGGAACCAACAGCCTGTGGGGATCATTTCAAAGCTGGAAACCGGGTCCAGTGTCCCTCACATCCATGCACACACACGGACACCCCTCCTCGTATCCGCTTGCTTTGTCAGTGTGGTTTCCTGATCTCAACAGGTGCCCAGAACCAACAGCCTGTGGGGTTCACTACCGTCTTAACCCGAATAGAACGCCCGGTCATTATATCTGTATTTGGTGCAACTTTCAGTCCAGATACGGCAATAATTACCGGGTGTTCCATTCATGTGAAGACGGTAGTGGTGTGAGTAGGTGATGTGCCGCTTTGCTCCGCGTTGGATGTGTGGACTGCCCTGTCTGCGCTACACCGCTGCCTTGCTGCCGGTTCTGCCAGGTGGTGTAACTGCTAGTTTTGGTCTGTTAGGAGACGTTATCATAGCTGAACCTAAAAAAGCGTAAATTGCATTTGCATATGTTCAATAAAAAATATATTACATTGATACAATGAATATTCTCTATTCATTATTTCATTTTATATCAATGAATACTTTTCAAAACTAATGAATATTTTATATTGCGATTTAATATTTGATTTTTGAAACAATATGCTATTTTCTTATGAACGAAATGAATCGCTTCCCATGTTGTTCTTTGGAGCTTGTGTGTTTGCTGTGTAGTTCGGCAGCGTTGTTGGTGTTGCCTCGTGTTTCGCTGTGCTGTTGCCTTGGCGCCCATCATCCCCGTGCCTTAGGGAAACAAGAACAAAAACAAAGAAGTCTTTCATTCCAAAGCCGGAGACCGGCTCCAGCGTCCCTGTTACATCTTCGACGCCACACGGGTCCTACCGGACCCGACATAGGGTAGAGGGACACAGTAGGGCCAAAGGCCCGACCTTGGGGGTACTACAGGCCGTAAAGGCCTTACCTTGGACCAGACCCGACGGGCCGGCCCAAACGATGTTACCGTTGGGCCTGGCGGCGCTCTTGAGGCTGCTGCCCGCCGGTTGGGGCTGAACCGTCCATCTGGACAATTCAGGGCACGGTCCGGCCTCGCAGCATAGAGGCCGACCTCTGCCCACCGGTACAAAGGTACCGGTCCAGCCTCAGTGAGGCTATCGACCTACCGGCATTCTACCGGTACGGTATGGTACAGCGCGATACAGCGCTGGCGCTAAGATTAGCGCAGGAGCAGCGAGGAACAGCGCAGCGCAGATTAGCGCAGCAGCAGCGAGCGGAGCAGCAGCAGCGGCGACTGGGTTACCGGCAGCCATAGCCGCCTGAGGTATTGGGAGTTGGAGGCTTCTCTCCTCCCTCCCATCGCCAGTCCCCTCTCTCTCTCTCTCCTCCTCGGCTCCTTCTTCTTCTTCTTCTTCTTCTTCTTCAGATTGGAGACTTATACTAGTTGGACAGAGATCAGTTCGGTGGTATGAGACTGTGGTACTTACCGGATTGGAGACTTGGAGATTGTTGGGGTTGATACTCGGCTGCATCACAGTTCGGACACCGGTTACATTTGGACTCTGTACCTCCGACATTGGTGACCTATTGTCCTCGACATTTTGATCTTGTTGGATGACATTTTGGACTACCATATCGGTGACCTATCAGATTCTATCTCGGTG